GCGTTTTGTATGTCTTTTCAAGTTTTACATAATAGATGTTTTCATTGATGTTAGGCTGGGATTACATGATAGGCAACAGTGAGACGGCCTATAATAAAGTGGCGTCACTTGTAATGGGATTTAAAGAATCCATTCTCGAAGAGAAAGAGCGAAAGAAAGACGAAAGAAATTGGAAACGAATCGCTTTGAGAGTATTGGCCAACATTTTGTGAGTTAAACCTAAAACTCAATTTAAATGTTGAAAAATGTTTGAAACGCTTTTGTTATTTGAATTGTGAATAAAATAAATTTCATGAATAAATTGTTTGTCGGGATATATAAGGGTTTTGATGCTATTGGCGTCTTCAGCCTATGGCGTGGTTCTGGTGGTCGAGCGCTCTCAAGAACCCCTCGAAAGCCCCTCGTGGCTCAGGGCTAATGAAGTGACACTTGTCGTCGCCGGCATTGGCATTGTTTTCCCCAATATATTTGATTTGATTGGAAATATGGAGGCATACCATCCCAGAATCACTCTTCGCTGGCAGTTAGGGAGGTATGACATGAATCGCATGACTCAGTGCACCGACACTTTAATACATAGCACTTCATACAAAGTAATATTGACTCCACTCTTGTTGATGAATGAATGTCTCAACACTTCTTCAGAAGCAATAAAATGATTGAATTTTTTATTTTATTTTGTCAAATGTTTGCCAAAAATCCAATATCGATTCTTTAAAGCATTAGCCATTTGACTGAACCAATAAACAATCAATAAAATAATCAAACTAATCGAAAACACTTATATAATAATTAAAAGTCCATTTTATATAATTTACGAATAAATTAATTTTAGGTTTAACCTTAAAACTCAAATTGTTTTGTCATATTTTATAGTATCACAACTAATTATTTATTTAATTACAGAATTTTAATATTGAATTTCCTGAATATGTACACACTTATGCTATCACTGTTTGGAAAAGTGAATTCAATGGTAAATTAATCACAATTCTTAAGTATATTAAACTAAACATTTTATTTGACTTTCAGACCACAGAACTAACAGATATGAGATTAAATATAACTTATAATAAGCTA